GCTTTATGCTAAGTGCAGCTAAACACTAACAGTTTAGCTTTATGCTAACTGTAGCTAAGTGCTAGCAGCTCAGGTGGACAAACAGGACTCGGGACTCTCCTCTTCCAGGTTTCTGCCTCCTCGGCTTCAACGGCTGCTGTGAGGTTTTGGGAGGAGACGTTTTTCTCCATTTCTGCTGCTAACGCTCTGCACAGGTTCAGGAGGGAGTTCACGAGCCAAAAGCAGATATAACAAATATAACAAATACAAAAACGTACAAATTAAATTCATACATCAACCACTTTGAGGGTTTCATTTCAAACACACAGATTGTTGTATCTGTAATAATATTAAGTGGAAGGCACAGCGCTCTCACTCTCAGTGAGTCTCGAGTTGTTTTTACAAAGATTACAAATTCTTTTAGAAAACATTTCCATTTAGATATTTCATTTTTTTAAAAAAACATCAGATTTTAAAATCTTGGCAGTAATCTAGTTTCCCTTATCACACATCTTTGGCTGTTTGGACTCAGCTGGACTGCGTCCTGCTGAAGGCCCTGTGGCTTCATACTTCATCTTATCATAGTGTATCTTCACTGGAGCAACGGCGACGAGCTTCAGACACGACAGACAGTAAATAGATAGATAGATATATATAAAACATATATGAAACGGGGATATAAAACCTATAACAGTCTGTGGAGGAGCGCTGGCGTTCGTCCTTCTGCACGAAGCTTCACTCCATCAGATACGAGGAAAGGTCGTGAGGCGGCACCACGAACATCCCGCCGCCGCCGCCGCCGTTAGTCTGCTGGAACAGGACACGAGTTTCAGGGTTTCAGGGTTTCAGGGTCGCACGAGAGCAGAAAAACACAAGAAAGGCTGATCACATGGTAAAGACGGACACAGAGAGATTGTTGTTCTGTCAACGTGACATTTTAGGAGAAAACGTCCATCAGTGCACATTTAATGACGTCATGGTGAATAAAAATGTGCAGAGTTCTACAGAAATATCCTTAAAATGAGTTTTCCTCCTTCACTGTGAGCTCCGCTTCAGCAGCTCTTCATAAATAAACGTTTCTAGTTTTACTTCTGTTCTCTGAAGGGTTTCATATCGAGGTTTGTTCATGTTCTGACTATTTTCTGATCTATGGAGAATAAAAATTCAAAATTCCCTTCATAGAAACTCAACAGCAAAAAAAATCCAATATTCAAAGAGTCTCTCTTGTGGAAATGATGCCGATTCAGAGCGTTTGATGCATTATAAGCACCTGATCAGTGGAGCTGCTGGTGTTAATAATCACCTCCAGCTTCCTGCCTGCTGAGGGGCGTCAGCGCTGCATCGTACATGTCTGATGAAAGAGGTGGGAGTCATTCATGAAGCAGCGCTGACGTCCCTCCCAGGCACCTTCATCACCATTCAAACAATGAATAGTGGATTGAGGTGAGAGCAAACACCTGGACGCTCCAGCAGCCAGTCAGAACTGAGGGAACCTCCTGGTTTGAAGGTGAAACATCTTTAAGAACCAAACAACAAGTCCAGTGTCCTCCTACTGAAGCACTGACTGACTGAGAAGCTGCACAGACTCAGAGAAACTCCAGACGACGTCCAGATTCACATGAGAAACCATCGATATCCCTAAAATATTGTATATTTAATGGTTTATTTTATTGTATTTTAGGTACTTTAAGTATATTGTAAGGTAGAACGTTATTACTGTTGCCTAACTACGATGGTTTTAAGCCAAAGAACACAAGTTATTAGTTTATGTGAGCCACTAGCTCAAGAATACTGGTTACCAGCATCGAGATGCTAATGACTAGCCTAAAAAAAGCTACTTGTTAGCTTTTGATGCTAATGACTAGGCTAAAAAGCTACTTATTAGCGTATAATGCTAATGACTAGCCTGTAAAACGCCACTTGTTAGCTTATTATGCTAAAGACTAGCCTAAAAAAGCTACCTGTTAGCCTACTATGCTAATTACTAGCCTAAAAAGCTACTTGCTAGCTTATAATGCCAACGATTAGCCTAAAAATAGCTACTTGTTAGCTTACTATGCCAATGACTAGCCTAAAAACACTAGTTGCTAGTGTTTCACGTGACTGGCAATAGGATACTAGTTATTAGCCTATCAGATGCTTGTGAACCAGCTAGCTTAGAGATATAAGTGACTGGCCCACAACTGCTAGCTGCTATTTTAGGGATTCCAGGGGTTAGCCTTGACACACTAGTCTCTAGCTTAGGGATAAAAGTGGTCCTAATGACTAAGCTTAAGAAAGCTGCTCGCTAGCTTATGGATGTTAGTGACTAACCTAGGATGGTTAGTTACTCTGGCCTAAAAATGCTAGTTGCTAAGATAGAGATTCAAGACTAGCCAAAGAATGCTTGACGTTAGCTTCAGGATGCAAGTGACTCATGTTGGAATGCCAGATGCTAACATGGAGCTGCGAATGACTGTCCTAGGAATGCTAGTACGCGTTACTAACTTACATGAGTCACTTGCCCAGAATGCGAGTTGCCAGCCTAAAGATGCTAATGACTAGCCTACAAAAGCTACTTGCTAGCTTATGATGTGACTAGCCTAACAACATTAATGGCTAGTGATTTGTGTGACTATACCACTGGAATGCTAGTTATTAGCTTACAGGATGCTAGTGAACGACCGTGCTGTACTTCCTGTTTCCTGTCAGCGGGATGGGTTACCTGTGTCTGCCCGTTGCTCTGCAGGTAGTGCTGGATGCTCCGAGCGTACTCTGCGGCGGACATGTTGGGCGGAGCGGCGAGCGGGCTGATGTTGGCGTTGTCCTGGCGGATGGCCGACGACCCGACCACCGGCTCACTGTGGTTCCACTGGTAGTAGCAGGAGGCCTGGGCGGGGCTCTGGTCCAGAGAGGGGGCGGCCCCCCTGAGGCCCGGAGCCCCGGAGGGAGGCAGGACGTCGCCGCCTTGAGGGCTGGTAGAAAAGTGCTGGTCGAACATGCAGCTGCTGTGATTGGCCGCCTGGCCCCCCGGCAGCGCCCCCTGCTGGTTCAGTCCGGTGACGCCCCGCGGCCATAAGCCAGCACACGGGAATGTTTGGCTCTGTGGGTTTTGGCTCTGGAACGCCGGCATGGCCTGGTGTCCGTTGGGCACGATGCCGGCGTGAGGCAGCTTCTGCTGCTGGTTCTGGTTCCACTGCTGCAGGGGGCGGCCGGGCGGATTGAACGGCAGGTTTCCCTGCAGACACGGCGAGGGGAAGCCGACGGGAACGTCAGACGTGTTAGAGGAGCTAAAGTCAGTGCAGGGAATCAGGGGAGGCAAGGTGTCCATCAGAGGCGCTACACTGTTGGGTTGCTGAACCGAGCCCTGCAGCATCGCAGCAGGGTGGTTCTGACGCAGCAGGAGCTGGTCGGCCTGCTGGACGGGACCACCGATGCCCTGCTGGCAGCCCGTCTGCCGGACCGACGCCTGAGCGCAGGACTGAAATGTTGCCAAGGCGTCATCGGCTGAGATGTTGGGGACGGTGAGCGGCGGGAGCTCGATCGACGGGCTGAAGATGTCGTGAAGCTGCAGCTGCTGCAGCGGCGGGAGGCTGCTGCCGGTCGGAGGGCCTTGGTGGGCCAGTCTCTGGGTGCCGCCGAACACCTGAGCAGAACCCACGCCCGGTGCGGAGATCCCGCCTCCGTTGACCTGCTGGGCGAAGAGGGCGTTCATGGGAGATAAAGTGCGGTCGGGGCTCGGCGTGGGGAACAGCGGCGGCTCGCAGAGCTTGCCGGCTGAGGACTGAGTGAAGGGGTTCTGGAGCGGGTTTAGTCCGGTCAGGCAGCTGGGTGGGGTGTTCAGCAGGTCCTCGCCCTTCTCTTTGAACAGGACGCTGTCCACGTAGTCAAAGATGTTTTCAGTGAGGATGCTGTCCAGGTCCGACCTCACGTCGCTCTGCTGACCGTCCTCCTGGCTCATCCTCTTCAGGACGTTCTCCAACTCCGCCAGCTCGGCGTCGCCCATCTCCAGGTTCTGCAGCGTGGTACTGAATTCGCCGCTCTGCGCCATCTTCTCCAGGCTCTCGATCACGGCCACCACCGACTGCTTGGCCTCCTCCTTCACCACGCTGGGCTCTCCGGCGTCGGACTCGTTGGTGACTTTGAGCAGCGCCTGGCTGTCCATGAACACCTGGTCCACAGGTAGAGGAGCCTCCACCGTCTGGGTGTAGGCGGCTTCGTCCTGCATCAGGAAACAGTCCAGCAGGGACCGAGGAGCCGTGTCCTTCTTCACCTCCGTGCTGCCGAACTTCTTGTTGTACTGGAACTGCGTGACGTCCACGGTGGGCCCGGTGTTGTAGAGGACGCCCTCCCCGGTGGTGAAGCTGAAGGGCAGCTGGAGGCGGCGCTGACGCAGATGCTCCTCCCCCTCAGTGTTACTGCAACACACCAGAGAGCCGGTTATGGACCGATCTGAGGCGTCCTGAGACGTTTCAGAACCATCTTAACAACAGAGAAGCTGTTTGAGGTCGTATCAACCTTCTGAACCCCAAAAACCCACCAGCAGGTTTGATTCTGTTAAAAAAACTCACTTCCTGACGGTTCAGACCAACAGGTAAAAACATCAGAGAGGA